TATAAAGTTCTACTTTAATCCATCAGGCAACCAAATCCAAGAAACCAATCATGCTGCCTGTCACATTTATGGATGGGACAACAAAAACACTGTTGACCGACTCTGCAACAACTGCCAAAGAGCTCTGTAATTCTTTGGCCGACAAGATCAGCCTGAAGGATCGATTTGGCTTTTCGCTTTACATTGCACTTTTTGACAAGGTATGTCTTAAATTATGTTCCTGACTAACCTTGTGAAGGAAGAGGGAGGTTCTCCTTGTCATCACATGCCTTCTAGAGGTCAGAAGAACCCTGTGCTCTGAGCAATGGCCAGCCTTGGCATCAGGAAGGAAAATTTCTACAGTACAAATGCCAGCATGATTTGCTACTTCAAATTTCCAGCAAAACAAACAGCCTGGATTTTTATGCAAGGGAGAAATTACATTTAATTGGAAAGATGATGGTTGAAATTAAGCTTCCAAAAGGAGCTAAAATACAAACTGCCATATCTGCACTAGCATTTAATTTGATTTATTTAAACTAAAACCATATATTTTTTTCAGAAATTCTATAAAAATAAAAGTGAGGTTAAATGAGAAGGGAAATAAAACTTGATCAGGTAGAGAAAACAGTTGCAAGACAATGAAACAGAATTATTCTTATAGCTGTTGTGTAAGAGGATTAAGTATAATTTCACCGCTGCATGTGGCCACCTCTGCCTGTGGAAGGAGAAGAAAATGGTTTATACTCCATCTTCTTGGTCTTTTTTGAGTAGACATTCATGCAGGGATATTCACTCTGAGGAAATATCGTGCTTTAGGGCCTCGTGCCAGACCACAGTGAAAAGAGAGAGGTACTAAATCTTCTAGAACAGGACAGGCTTTTTATTCCCAATTTTTCTGATGCTTAACAAGGTTGGATCTGAGTCTATGACTTTGAAACAGGGTGTTTCAAAGCACAATATGAATAAACAATATTTTATGATGGGACTGTTTGCTTTGCTAATTCACATTGATGTTCTCTTTTCATTCTGGGTGTGAATTTGTGGCTCAAAACTGTTCAGTCTTGGCTGGCTAGTAGAGATAAATACTTTGATTTAATTTGGTTATAAAGGAAGTCTGGATGAGTGTCTCAGAGATAGATATCTCTATCTAGTTGGGTGAATGCCACATTTCCCTAGGTCTCCTCACTGGGGAGCGGCAATGACCATGTGATGGATGCTGTGTCTCAGTGCGAGCAGTACGCCAAAGAGCAGGGAGCGCAGGAGCGCAACGCGCCGTGGCGGCTCTTCTTCAGGAAGGAGATCTTCACTCCTTGGCACAACCCCAGTGAGGACAATGTGGCCACCAACCTCATTTACCAACAGATCGTGAGAGGGGTGAAGTTTGGGGAGTACCGTTGTGACAAGGTATGTGACATCAGCAGCTACCGATCTGGTCCAACATGTATCCTCGACATGGTGAAATAGGTTTCGCCAAAGGGTTTCAGAAATCTTCGTCACTGAACACCCTCTACCTTGGGGATTATGGTATTCACTTGGGAAACAGCAGCTACAGGAATCAGATTCACTTGCCTGGGGTCAGTGTCCCAGGTGCTGCATGAGCACTCTCTCGGTGAATTTTGGATGGGAGCCTGAAGAGTCAATTCATCCACCAGCCATAGTTTGGAGGGCCACAGGTAGTCTGTAACCAGATCAGGAGTACACAGCAGGATCCTGTTTGGTGAATCATAGAATGGTTAGGGTTGGAAGGGACTTAAAGATCATCTAGTTCCATGCTAAGCCTTAGACATGAGAGTTGCTTTTCAGCATACCCAGGCCTCTGCCATGCAAAACAAACCCAATGATGCTGCCATATGCTGCAGGGACACTAGCAGCAGAAACCTACGCCTCTAGAGTCTCTGGGAACTTACAGAATTATTCCAGTGCCACTGAAATGAGCATCTCAAGAAACATCAAAATTTCTGCCCATGTCCATCACATAATTGTTTTGCTTGTGTTTAAAACAATCCAGGTGTCAGATTGAAGATATCTCCCCCAAAACTTAATCATTCTCCTGTGGACCAGTAGAGTCCAGTCACCTTGGGAACTAAGTCATCTTTTCCTATTATTACTGCGTTAACTGCAGGTCTTTAATCCTATCAGAAGTCCTGCCCTTTCTTTCTCCTCTTCACTTGTTCCTGGTCTCCTTGTGCAATTATCATACCAGTAGCTCTGTTATTTCGGCCCAAAGTGCTTGGAATGTACCTGCACTGAAGGACATTTTACAGTTCTGCATTATGCACAGGTGCTTCAGTTGCTGGGCTTCTCAAGTATGACAAATGATGGATATATGCAGTTTTCAATCATTAAACTCTGCCTACCATAACAAAAAACCCCACTGCTGACTGCAGGCATCAGAAGCAGACTGGACTGCAAGAAAAGACTGAGAAAAACATGTTATTACAGTTGGATTCAATGATCTTAAAGGTCTTTTCCAACCTAAATGATTCTGTGTTGAATCATTGCATGATTCTAGTCACTGAACATGCTAAGGCTTAATCATAGCATTTAGTGGTCAATCTCCTGAAATCCAGATGTGCAAAAAGCGCTGGTGACGTTCCGCTGAAAGGAAACATCCCCACACCATTCTGAAGCAACCAGCCTCCAGAAAGATTTCCTTGACTGGTGGGGGATGGATGTTGAGCTGATAGCCTGGTAACAGCATTAATTTGGCTTATTTGGTTCCCACAGGAAGAGGATCTGGCAGAGCTGGCATCCCAGCAGTACTACGTGGACTATGGGTCAGAGATGGTACTGGAAAGGCTGCTAAATCTAATTCCATCCTACATCCCAGACCGAGAAATCACAGCTTCGAAAACAGTGGAAAAATGGGCTCAGCTCATTATAGCTGCACATAAAAAGGTGGGGACAATAGATCACCTGGAGAAGAGCTTTGTGTGCCTTTTAAACATAAGTCAGACACCATAGATCAGGTCTTAGCCTGTCCTGAAGCTAAATAAAACGGCAGGGTTTGTACTTTGGCCCTTCACCTCCTTGAGACCCAAAATATTATTAGCTCCAAGATCTTCAGGTGACATGAATTGATTTTGTTCTCTCACTTCCTGGCTGTAGCAGGGTTTGTGCTTCATGTTGGTTGTAATTTGCTTTGTCTGTAGGGAATTTATACTCAGAAGAGGGCAGACCCCAAAAAAGTCAAGGAAGAGGTAGTGGATTTTGCACGTTTCAAGTGGCCTTTGCTGTTTTCTCGGTTTTACGAAGCCTTCAAATTCTCAGGTGAGTCAGTAGAGCGCATCCCTGGAGCAGAAGTTGCTCCAAAGCTAAAGGAAGGAGAGATAGGGGCTCCACAGAGAAGAAGACTTAATGGACCATCTAGCTGATCTTTTTCAGATACATTGTTTTTTGGCACACCCTGATTAGCCATAGCTCAAGCTCTGAGTCTGCCACTATTTTTCTTACTAAAATTAACATTTTCTTAATCATTGCGTCTTTCTTTGATATTTTCTATGTCCTTCGTGAACTGACTGTATGTCTTGTCTTCAACCCAGGGCCAAGCCTGCCTAAAAATGATGTGATTGTAGCTGTCAACTGGACAGGGGTGTACTTTGTGGATGAACAGGAGCAGGTTCTCTTAGAGCTGTCTTTCCCAGAGATCACGGCTGTGTCAAGCAGCAGGTAAGGAAGAATAGACTTAGCTGGTGATCTCACCCTAAACCACTCCTTTTCCAGGCTTGGCCTCTTGATTCCATTATCTTTTCTGTTTATGTCTCCTATAAAAATATATCCCAGAGGGGGAAAGCTGCAAGGGCAGAGTTTCACCTTGGCCACCATTAAAGGTGATGAATACACCTTCACCTCCAACAATGCGGAGGATATCCGGGACCTAGTGGTGACCTTCCTTGAAGGACTAAGGAAAAGATCCAAGTATGTGGTCACTCTCCAAGACAACCCAAATCCTGGTAGGTAAATGAGCCAGACCAGTGGTAAACATATAGATAGATTGATTATCCCTCAGGGATTTGGGGGGAAAAAATCAAACTTGTTTTTCTTGCAGTGGGAGAAGAATCCGGCTTCCTCAGCTTCCTCAAAGGAGACCTCATAGTTCTGGACCAGGACACGGGAGAACATGTGATGAACTCAGGGTGGGCTAATGGTTTCAATGAACGGACCAAGCAGAGAGGGGACTTCCCAACCGATTCTGTCTACGTCTTGCCCACTGTCACCATGCCTCCGCTGGAGATTGTGGTAAGCTGTCTTCAGAACGGCACAACTAGACACAAAGCCCAAGGAGGTCAAGGCCTTCCTGAAGAGCTTATATCTGGCCAGAGTCTCCCTGATGATAAGGTGGAAACCAAAGTGGCTGAGAGGTGACAAGCTGTCCAGGTCAGAAGTGATCTCAGCCTTGTCACTTTGAACGCCACAAGCTTGTGACTTGGAATATCCATGAATCCTGCTACATCCCTCTAGCTGCCCTGATTACGTGAAGGTGTATTTGGGGGTGGAGGGAACCACTACATTCATGTATGGAGCTGTAGGATGCAAAGCATACTATCTTCATTAGGAAATGACCCACACTGTGGAAACATTCATTATTCCTTGCATTAGTGACTGAGAATTGCACAGAGAATTGACAATTGCATGGTTCTTACTGACTATTAACTGGAATTAATGGGTTATTCTTATTCACTCACTGTTCTTTTCATTTTGTATCTGCTTCCTCCCTCTGAATACATCAGATATATATTATATCAAATACACCAGGTGACAGAGACGTTTTCATCCCACAGGCACTGGTCACGATGACCCCTGACCAACGACAAGATGTTATCAGAACCTCTCAGCTGGCAGTTTCAGACAGCGAAGAGAGAGTAAAGCCATACACCTTGGAGGAATTTTCCTATGATTATTTTAGGTGATATTTTAAATCATCCTCAGAAATTATAGGAATTGATCTCCAGGTAGCTTGGGAATCGGGAAATTTTTGGCTACTGGAAAATAGTCCAAATATCCCCTTTGTGTGACTTTGTACAACTGCAACCTCCAGTTCAGGTTGTGGCATTTGAGCTGTAGGTTTTCCACAGACAAGGTTTTATGAAGGGTTTCTTCAGATTGGCTCAGCAGGGGTGTAACAGAAATTTAGTATTATGTGGGAGGCTGTGGTTAGTGGTCTGATATTCCTTTCCTACGATCACACACAAAGCCTCAGACCATATAGGCAGTTGATTTAGGTATGGGCATCTTCATCTCAGCTCCAAAAATTTAAATGTTCACCACTGGTGAACACAGCTGACCTGGCTGATCCCAAAACTCCCACTCCTGTTCCGATGGGCTGGTAATCCAAACATGGCAGACCAGATCCTCTGGGATGTCTTCACCCTCTTAGGCTTGTTCTGCTAGGCAATACTCTTTCAGTACCCTGACCATCCATTGTCATCATCCTTCTCTTGCATTTAGAAGCTTTTCGGGGCAGGAAAGATTGTTTTGGTGTCAGTACTTGGGTAGAGTCCTTAAGGGACTTTTCTGAGCCCTAGGAAAGTACAAATGGTTATCTTTGGGCAGAACTGGAGCTGGATACTTGCTAAACTGTGAAGTCACATTTGGTGTAATAGTTCATTAGCCAGGTATTGTGAGCAACATTCCCAGGTGAAACATGGGCCACAAGCTGTCCCTTTTATCTCTGTAACCTCTCCACCTTTCCTCTTGCTTTGCCTTTTCCCACCAGGCCACCTCCTAAACACACCCTGAGCCGGGTCATGATCACCAAGAGCCGTGGGAAGGACAAGCTGTGGTGTTACACCCGTGAGCCCATCAAACAGCCATTGCTGAAGAAGATCCTGGGCAGCGAGGAGCTGTCCCAAGAAGCCTGCATGGCCTTCATCGATATCCTTCCACTGACTAGGGCAGCCCTTGGTGAACAGGTTTGACAGGCAAAGGGCTAAGCAGGCTCTTTAGGGCTCAAGAAATGCTCAAGAAAGTTTGTGGGCTCAAGAAAAGTTTGTGGTCCCTCTTATGGGCTTTGAGACCATGTTGCAGGCTTGGAGATGGATCTGATCCTGAAATCTCTACTTAAGCATCCTTAAGATCTGAGGGGTGTTTACTTCTTAATAAATGAGGGCCAGGAAACAGGTTACTGAGTCCTGCTGGTCCACACTGCTTAGTGGTTAACTCACCGGCCCTGTTCTGGCTTGTTTCAGCTGTGTCTCTCCAAAATGCCTGTGCTGTGGAAGGCTGCAGCCCTAATCAGTGGGGATGCAAACCAGTTCACATGGCCTCGAGGACAGGGTTTGCCTGAATATCCCTTACTCAGCAGAATGTACGCAGCATGGGAGCCCAAAGGGAAAGGCTTCCTCAAACATTCCAGTTAGCTGATCCTTGACTCCTACCTCCCACCAGTGCTGAAGTATATGGGTGACTACCCATCAAAAAGGACCCGCTCAGTCAATGAGCTGACAGACCAAATATTTGAAGGTGCCTTGAAAGCTGAACCCCTGAAGGATGAAATCTACTGCCAGACCCTCAAGCAGCTCACAGACAACCACATCAAGTAAGAGTCACTTGTTCTTCTTGGCCCAAATGCACTGGCCTGTGTTGGGCAAAACAGATCTGGAATGTCCATGCCATGAGTGATTTTTTTTCTTCCTGGGTCTCTCCTCCTGTAGGTACAGTGAAGAGAAAGGCTGGGAGCTGTTGTGGTTGTGTACAGGCCTTTTCCCTCCAAGTAACATCCTCCTGCCCCATGTCCAGAGGTTCCTGCAGTCCCGGAAACATCACCCCTTGGCGGCAGACTGCATCCAGAGACTCCAGAAAGCCTTGAGGTATGGCACCAAAAGACCTCCTAGTCCTCAGCCACAGCATCCAGATATGTGTGACAAAGTACAAGAAGGAAATATTTTTGTGTAGGGGGGGTGGGGGGTAGTGAAATCTCCGAAACTCTCTGCATCCAACCAAGCTGAACAAAACAGACATTGGTTAGAAGATGTCATCGGTAAACTGTTTGGGGAAGAAATAGAGATTAAGTAAGTTGATTTTGCCATGCCAACTCCATTTAAATCACCTACAACCTAAGCAAACACATATTCCCTATTCCAATTTTTGTTTCTTCTTTTTTTCTGGGGGGACAGGGTGGGGAGGGTTGTGAACCCTAACAAAATTATCCAAAATTACTCCAAATAAATGTATTCAAATGGAAGATTTAAAAAAAACATTCTTGTTTGGATGCTGGTGGCACTTCTCATCTCCTGTTTTGCAGGAATGGATCCAGGAAGTACCCGCCCCATCTGGTAGAAGTGGAAGCCATTCAACACAAAACCACCCAAATTTTCCACAAGGTTTACTTCCCTGATGACACAGATGAGGTAAATGTGGGAGAAGGAAATTCTTCATTTCTGTCAGGATAGCTGTCAATTTTCTTATTAAAACCTTGGAAGTAGCTAATATTGATTTTGATTCAGAAAAACTCAGCCTTCCCAGGAGACTCTGGGCCAGAATCAGAGCTGTGTAAGGAAAATCCACCCTTATCCACTCCAACCAGCTCAATGGTTTGATTTACTGCAGTTTACGGTTTTCAAGACATGGGTGCTGTGCTGGTGTTCACTGGAGACTTTAGAGAAAGACCCCAGGAAGAAGGAGACCATGTGGGTTCACCTCCATTCACTCTCAATGGTTCACAAGCCTTGAATATCAGTTATTTCCAGCCCAGACTGAGAGATATTGTCCACCCAACTATACCCAGTGGGGTACCATGATGGGGCACCCTGGAGACTGGGCAGGCTATGGCAGCACTGGCAAGTAGGTAACTGAAATTATACCTTCTGACCTGATATGACACAGAAATCATACCTACACTCGGGAACCTCTCATTAAGCATCTTACACACTAATAAGACAGCTAATTATATTGATGCCTTATTATATGCATAGCAGATACACATGTCCTTGCAGACACTGCTGTCTCATGCTACTGATTAGTCTTCCTGTGAGGTTTGCATCTCTGTCTCCTCATGCCTTTGAGCACAACTAAATTCCTGTATTTCCGAGTGGGCTTATGCTTAAAACAGTGCACACCCATGGAAGAAAAGGATGATTCCTTTCCAGCAGCTCTGAGTGCCCCTGTCTATCTGTAATGGAGACTTGAGAGTACTGCCGGGAGTATTTTTTTTAAGTGACCAGCAATAAGCATGACACTGCTTTATACACATGCATCTGTGTGAGAGGCAGTAGGAGGAGGCAGTGGGGTCTTCTCCATTTGGATGGTTTTGGTGTGATCCTTCTGGCCATGGAAGTCGCACAGGTGGTCTGGCAGAGGAGCATCACCACAGTACAACATGCATCTGCACCAAAGGGTTGCTGAACATCAACAGCACTGAGCTCCAGGCCAGTCTCTCGTAGGATATGTAATATGGGTCCTGGTGGTTTGGTGGTTCAGGCTAACACAGTCATGCAGGTGGTGGTCAGAAGCTTAAGCTCCTTAAACTGCTATGAAATGGATCTCTTCAAGTGGGCAGAGCAAAACTGAGGTGATGTAAATGCTGAGCACAGCTAAAAAGGCAACACAAGGGCTGGGACGTGCATGCAGGTTGGACAGTCCTTTAGATATTCCATCCACATGTAAAGCAGGAGTCATCTCCCTACTCTTCAGCTCTCCAGAAGTCAGGCATTTGGTCTAAGCCAGGCATCTGACCTCCTCATCATCTGTGCATGAGACAGCTGGGACAAATCAACCTGAGCTTCTGCAAACACCCCTTCCATGCCCAGAGCCACAATGTCATTGACTTCAGTGGTGGTTGGCACCTAAATCCCTTCCTGTGTCTGATCCTAGAGTTCCTCAAAGAAAGCATAAAGTGGAAATTAACCTTGAGGTAGCAGTGGTGAGGATCTTCCTTTCTTTATAGGCATTTGAGGTGGAGTCCAGCACGAAAGCCAAGGACTTCTGTCAGAACATCTCCAACAGGTTGCTCCTAAAGTCCTCTGAAGGCTTCAGCCTCTTTGTTAAAATCTCTGACAAGGTGAGTGAGGCTGGGGTAGCCCTGAGGCACTTGGGGTGACCCACTGGCCAGTGGGTACACACTGGTGGGTCAGGTGAGATGCATTTCTCTGCAAGCGGGGTGGTGTTTCTAAATCAGATCCAACCTAATAGAGGTGGGATTTGCAGACCCACAGCCCTGACCTACAGCGATCATCCCAAAGGGTTTAAAACACGGACAAAGCTCTCCCAGCCTGTTGCTGAGTTGGGTTTATAAGGACTAAGTAAGAAAATTGCGCATCTTAGAGCTGCCTCAGGCACCTGGGAGAAATCTATGGAGATAGTAATTGTGAAAGGGAAATAAATGCTCCGGTCAAACAGGAAGCTGCAGTAAGAAATTAGAGACAGAGCCTGCAGCAAAGTGTTGGCAGTGGCTTTCTCATGTCAGCAGTTTGTAACACAACAGTGGAAACGGGACAATGCAGTGAGCAACAACTACAGGAGATGGGGCTATGACCAACCCTGCCTGTGGCCGCTTGCCACTTGCTCAGCCTTTGTAACCCTGTGCTGTGTCCCCCAGGTCATCAGTGTGCCCGAGGGAGACTTCTTCTTTGACTTCGTGAGGCACCTGACGGATTGGATAAAGAAAGCAAGACCAGCAAAAGATGGTAACAGTGACTTTTCTCCATTTGTGGTTTATGCAGAGCCCTCCTAGAGTCCTCCAGCTCTTTCAAACAAGACTGATCACACAGTTGGCCACATGTGTTGGGCCACACTACTGTGGGTGTGCTGTCTGCACCAGCCCTGGGGACATCACCTGGGAGATGATGTGTCCAAGAGCAGCAAGTCCTCTTCTTCTGGGCTAGACATGGCCCCTACACAGAGTACTTGCTGGCAGGCAGCTCTCCAGGGCAGGCAGGTGGGAAGGTTTTGGTGGTGGGATTCACCTCGCCTTGGCTGCAGCTCTGCTGGATGTATCAGCGGCTGCAAGACACAGGTGATTCCAGGCTGCAATTCCTCTGTCCTGCATTAGATATATCATAGAGTGGTTTGGGTTGGAAGGGACCTTAAAGATCATCTATTTCCCCCCCCCCTGCCATGGGCAGGGACACCTTCCATTAGACCAGGTTGCTCCAAGCCTCATCCAGTCTCGCCTTGAACACTTCCAGGGATGGAGCATCCACAGCTTCTCTGGGCAACCTGTCCCAGTGACTCACCTTCCTCTCCAGGAAGAATTTCTTCCTGATGCCCAATCTCAATCTCCCCACTTTCAATTTAAACCCATTCCCCCTTGTCCTGTCACTCCCTGCCCTTGTAGAAAGTCCCCCCCAGCTTTCTTGTCAGCTTCCCCAGGCATTGGAAGGGGCTATAAGGTCTCCCCAGAACCTTCCCTTCTCCAGGCTGAACACCCCAACTCTTCCTGTGCCCATAGCAGAGGGGCTTCAGCCAACGGAACATCTTCATGGCCTCCTCTGGACTCACTCCAACCAGTCTATGTTATTCTGATGTTGGGGGCCCCAGAGCTGGATGCAGAACTGCAGGGGGGTTCTTGTGAGAGCTGAGTAGAGGGGGAGAATCCCCTCCCTCAACCTGCTGGCCACGTTGCTGTGGATACATGAGCATTATCATTGAAGTACAGCCATGCAAATGAATCCAGACACAATTTCTGTTGTTAAAGCTCTGAAGGGGAAAGATGTGGTTTTCTCTGCAATGTGAGAGCTGTTTTGTCCTTGCCAGTGCCCCTGTCTCTGCAGGTTGTGACAACCAGGTGGTACTCACAGCATTGCTCTTACATAGCTGCGCCCTCTTCTTCTGCACAGGTATAGTGCCTTCCCTCACCTACCAAGTGTTCTTCATGAAGAAACTGTGGACCAACACAATGCCTGGAAAAGACTCAATGGCAGACTCAATCTTCCACTATTACCAGGTACTCCGGTAGCCTGCAATAGCAGTGGAGATTTGGAAGGAATTAGGAAAGGGTTACAAAGACTGTCCATTTGCAGATAGACAAAGTCTTGCATTAAATAGGAAGAATTCTTGCCTTAAATAGAGCACTACAAAGAGCGCTGTTGAGTTGCATGACAAGGAACAGCCTTCATGCACTTGATTGTATCCAGCTCAGCTGGGATTTGGGCCAGCTGCTCTTGGGTGGGCAGCAAGAAACAGGAGAGAGCATGTCCTGCTGGCATCCTCATCAGGGAGGCTGAATTTAGAAGTATCCTGAGGGTTTTCAGCCACCTCCATTCATGGGGATGAGCTGTGATGGTCCCAGCAGTCAGGTAGGAAGTTACAGTTCTTCTGCTCTTGTTTCTTTTGGGATGGAAGAAACATTTTCATGTCCCAAAGAACACTCTCTCACTCAAACACACTCCCTGTGTTCTTGCCTGCATAAAGTGGTTATTCCAGTATGACTGTATCCCTTAATACTTGAGTTAGTCACCTGACACATTTTCAGACACTTCCAGTAATGAGGAAATAGATTTTTAAAATTGCAGAAAACCTGTTTAATTCCAAGTGGCCATTACTAGACATGGGTTTCCTGGAATCATAGAATCACAGAATGGTTTGGGTTGGAAGGAACCTTAAAGATCATCTAGTTCCAACTCCTCTGCCATGGGCAGGGACACCCACTAGTCCAGGTTGCTCCAAGCCTCATCCAGCCTGGCCTTGGACACTTCCAGGGATGGGGCATCCACAGCTTCTCTGGGCAACCTGTTCCAGTGCTTCATCACCCTCTCTGGGAAGAATTTCTTCCTGATATCTAACCTAAACCCCCCCCACTTTCAATTTAAACCCGTTACCCCTGTGAGGGAGGGTGAACAAGATTGTGGTTTACACATGATACCTCTCTCACAGAGAGAGTCTTTAAACACCTAGTGTGGCCCCAGCTGAGCTGCTGCCTCTCCACCACACTCAGCACAAGTGCTGTGAGTGTTCCCAGGGCACAGCATCTTATCCAGGGGCTGGAGACCTCCACAAATTCCATTTAGCTTCTGAGGAGGAATGCCTGTTGTCATCCCCTCTCTCTCTGGATTGATTTTTCCCCCATGCAGGAGTTACCGAAGTACCTGCGTGGCTACCACAAGTGCACACGGGAAGAGGTCCTGCAGCTGGCAGCTCTCATCTACCGGGTGAAGTTTGAGGATGACAAGTCCTATTTCCCCAGCATCCCCAAGCTCCTGAAGGAGCTGGTGCCTCAGGACCTCGTCCGGCAGCTCTCTCCAGATGACTGGAAAAGGGTAAAAACAGCAGCTTTAGTCACATGCCAGGCCTGGGTGGGGGAATGCTCAGCCTCTCTGGTGATTTGTCTGATATTCAATATCAAAGCAGGGCTATTGGAATGAGTGACCCATGGTCCCTCTTGATCCTTAGCAGAGCTGCAGCCTGCCCAACATCACCAAGAGGAGGAAATGTACATGCATGTCCATACACACGCGCCTTGCACTGGGTTTTGTTTGTGCTGCAGGGGTCTGTATGGCAGATGCAGTGCCGTCTCATGCAAAGGTCTGTTGCTTAAGGCAGACTGCCAAGTAGAGGGGTAATTCCCTCTGCTTTACACGGGAAAAGCTGTGGCACGAGTGCAGAGAGGTCTAGAGCCATAAAATAGCATACATGTCTCACTGCCAGTCGTCTTGTAAGTCCTCTCTGTTTCCTGTCCAGCCAGCGAGCTACTAGCTTCTCTGGCTTTAAGGTCTCTGTCTCCTCTGCTGCATAATTTAAAATACTAAAACTTGTAACCCCTTTAATGGAGCCACCAGCTCAGCTCATCTAAAGAGAGAAGGACCTGTCTTGGTTCCAGGCCCTGCACCAGTGTCCAGCCAGCACTTTTGTGAAGTGTTTGTTGGAGCAGAGATTGTAATAGACCATCTTTGTGGGACTGATACCCCTTCCCTGCAAACATCCCTGGTGCTAGGTGGTGCAAACCCTCCAGCTCTGTTTTCTCTGTTGCAGTCCATCGTGGCATACTACAATAAGCACGCAGGCAAAACAAGAGAAGAAGCCAAGCTTGCCTTCCTTAAAATTATCTTCAAGTGGCCTACGTTTGGATCAGCATTCTTCGAAGTGAAGGTACCTGCCCAGCCTGGGGTTTCTCTGGCAGCTTTGAGCCAAGGTCAGGAGCCCTGTATCTCAGAGGGTTTCCAGGTATACAGGGTTGTACTAGTGTCAGGCGAGCTTGTGAGATTCTCCATCAGTAAAGGACCAATAATGGTCATTTATTGCTGCCCTGCCTCTTCACACAGACAGAGTAGAGCTTCAGCATATCTCAGCCCTTGGGTCTGCATTTGTAGCTGTGCTGCTGAAGAGCCAAGAGCCACTCTCTGTTTTGCCAAGGGGACATGCAGTTTTCCAGGGAATGTCTGCACACACCATGAACCACGCACCACGGCACCAGGCTCCCATCAAAGAGAGTAAAGGCCAATAATTATGAAGTCTGTCCAAGTACTCTGGACACCTTATTGCAACTCCTTCTTGTCAATGACCACACAGTGGGCTGGAAACAAGTTGATGAAATGACTCATCAGTTCCTTGAACTTGGGCACTCTATTTTTTGTCATGTCCCTCTTAGTTGAAACAAGGGATCTGATTATATCCTTTAATTTTTCCACCAGAAGTGACTTGGTAGCCAAGAAATCTGTGTCAGGGCCAGACTGAGCCCCCATCACCTGTGCCCTACCTCATCAATGAACAAAACGAAGGTCCTCATGGCTGGGAGAAGAGTTTAGCACAGGAACAAAATTGAATGTAAAGATCAGAAGGGGACAGAGCAGTGTAGTCTTGGACTGGAGGTCCACAGCAGTAAGCATGAGGAGGATGAGAGGGACTGGAGAGGAAAGGAGATGTCTGGGTTTAGCCAGCCTGTCACAGCTCTTCCATGCCAATGGCAAGGAACTTAATGCTGTCAGCAACCCACTAGTTATCATGCCTTTAGGAGACCTGTACTTCACTAGACAGCCCTGACTATTGCTGACACCTTAATAAGCTCTATGTTTATCTTTAAAGGATAAGCTGGATAGCAGTTAATGGGCCACCAAATTCTGGCAGAAGACAAGGAGAGAGGAAATAGGAAGGGGTCTGGTTTTGCATGACACATCCTCTAACCAGTTCATCTCATTTCCAACAGCAAACTACAGAGCCAAATTATCCAGAAATCCTTCTAATTGCCATCAATAAGCATGGAGTCAGCCTCATTGATCCCAAAACCAAGGTAAGCAAAACTGAGGTCTTCACCAGATGCTCCTGGGCCCACTCCACACCTCTCATAGATGTCATCCCAAAAAGCGTGTTGTTCAGATTTTCAGGCGTTCTCGTTAAGCCTATTTACAAAGGCTGGGTAGCCAGAAATGTTCCTGGAGACAGAAATTCACTGCTGCACAGAACCAGCCCAGCTGGTTGGGAGCATCAACTATTAGGGCCCCGTAACTGGAAGATACACACAATCCTTCTTTAATCCTTTCACAGACATTAATTAGGGCAGGAGATGGAGTAAATGAGCTCCTACTAGCTACTTCCACCAGCTACATGGTCATTCTAGTATGTCAGTCCTCCACAAGCACCGGAGGATCCAGAGTCTTGCATCCCACTGCCATTTCCACGAGGCCATGATACAGTTTCATCATAGACATCCTCGGTCTGCTTTGATGGAAAGTGAATGGCGATATGAGAGGTCCTCACAGACCTTTGTGAAAGTTGAGGCTCCTGTGTGTTGAGTGCATGTCTTGTGTTCCCACCAGGATATTCTCATCACTCACCCCTTCACCAAGATCTCCAATTGGAGCAGTGGCAACACGTACTTCCATATAACCATCGGCAATCTGGTGAGAGGAAGCAAGCTGCTCTGCGAGACCTCCCTGGTAAGAATGTTCAAGATTATTGGGGTAGTTAGACCAAGTACTGACTTGGGCGGGCAAAATTAAATGCATCCAGCACACTCTGTCTCAGGGACTCTCTGGGCTGAAAGTGGTCTGTTAGAAAAACTCCTGATACGTTTTTTTTCTGGATTTTCATTGCTCTGCCTAATGGATCAGGGCTCTCACTTGATCCATCATCCAACTTACGAGCAAGCCTGAGGTTCTGGAGATGTTGCCATCTCAGAAACATGAGGGCACCACCCCCTGCCATAGACTCACAGACTGGTTTGG